TTGCCGGCAGGTAAGCACTGAAGACAAAGGGACAAAGGGCCGCCTCTCCTGAGTGCATCCTCAATAAACATTTTACTGCCGAGCAGGTGTTAGGTTACTGACTGAGAGACACATGGCCCTGCTGAAACATTGATCTTGGACTTCTATTGTTCAAGCCACCGAGTTCGTGGTACTTTGTTACAGCAGGCCTAGCAAAGTAAGGAGGCTTGGAATAAGCAAAAAGGATTACTGGGTACCTCCAGTGGGAAATGTCCATTGCTTAGAGATCACCCTCTGGGTTATCTGATTGTGGCTTTTCATTGCCTTTGAGCTATTTCACAGTCTACATAGAGAACGGGTGATGATGCGAATGACTTTAGTCTATGGATGTGAAAATGAATTGTGTGGTGGAGGGACAACCCTCACCCTATGCTCCTCAAATCCTGGTGGTCATGTCCTCGTGTGATCCCCTGCTCTAGAGTGTGGGCAGAACCTGCGACTTGCTTCTAACCGAAAGAACAGGCAAAGGTGATAGCATGTCGTTCTGGGATTACTTTATATAAGAGGCAGCTTCTGTCTTCCTGGCAGACTCCCTTCCCTGCTAGCTTCCATGAAGCAAGCTGCCATGTCCTGAGTTCCTCTCTGGAGAGGCCCAAGTGGCATGAAACTGAGCCCTGCCAACAACCATGTGAGCCTGGAAATGCATCCCTCCCCAGTCAAGGCTTCAAGTGAGACCCCAGCCCCGGCTGACACCTTTGTGAGGGCCTGAAGCGGAGGACCTGGGCAAGCCATGCCAGGATTCCTGACCCACAAAAATGGTGGGATATAAATGTGTGTTGTTTTCAGCCACTAAGTTTCTGATAATCTGTCATGAAGCAATACATAACCAATACCCCATGTCTTAGAAACATTCATTCATGCATTCAACAAATATTTATTTGCCAGGCACTAGTACACGTGCTCAGCATACATCAGTGAACAAAACTGAGTAAAATTCTTACTCCTATGGAACATAAATCCTAGTGTTTATGTGTGTGTGGGAGAGGTGTTGGACAATAGATAGAAGTTCTCTGGTTACGCCGTTACCTCATATGTTACATGTATCTACACAAGTACCACGGAGAAGGAAGGAGGGGGACAGGGAGTGGGTTAGGAGTTTTCAACTTCAAGCCTCTTTGGAGAAAGTGATGTTGAGAAAGACTTTGGGGAGGTGAGAGAGACAGCCATGCAGTTATCTTTGGGAAGAGTCCTTCAGGCAGAGGGAATAGCTAGTGCAAAGGCCCTGGGGCTGAATCACACCAGGAGTGAGTGAAGAGCAGCAAGGAGGCAGACTGGAACAGAGTGGGTGAGGGGGAGGGTGGTGGGAGCTGAGGTCAAAGGTGCAGGGGGAGAAAGAAGATCATGTAGACCCTTGAGGGCCACTATAAGGACTTTTTTCTCTGAATGAGATGGGGAGCTCTTGGAGGGGTTGAGTCAAGCAGGGATGTGGTCTGACCTGTATTTTGAAAAGGATCATCCCCTACTCATTGCTGGTGACTTCTCGCCCTAGCCACCCATGCAAACCAAAGCAACTTATGCATCAGCCACACTGGCCGCCTTAAGCCGAGAGACTTGCCCTCATTTGTAAGTGGTTTTCTCGCTCATTTTTCTTTTTTCTTTTTTTTTGAGGAAGATTAGCCCTGAGCTAACTACTGCCAGTCCTCCTCTTTTTGCTGAGGAAGACTGGCCCTGAGCTAACATCGTGCCCATCTTCCTCTACTTTATATGTGGGACGCCTACCACAGCATGGCGTGCTAAGCAGTGCCATGTCTGCACCCAGGATCCAAACCGGTGAACCCCGGGCCTCCGAGAAGCAGAATGTGCGAATTTAACCGCTGCGCCACCGGGCCGGCCCCTCGCTCGTTTTTCTTATGGAAGCCTCCAGATCCCAGCCATCCTATAAAGACAGCCCAAGCCCGGCCTGCCCACCTCCCCCAGCTCAGCCCTGCACAGCACAGCACCTCTCCTCGTGCCCAGCCAGGCAGCCACTTGCTTTGTGTGCTGGATCGTAAGTTCTGCCAGGCAGGGTCCAAGTCTTACCTTTCTTTTACACCCCCCCCACCCCTCTGCAGCCTGAGACACGGCTGGAACCCCGGCAGAGTTCCTTCTGCCTTTCCCAGTGGCTTCTCTCAAGCACTCCTCTGCCTCCTGGACTGCCCCCCACCGCATCATCCCGTTTCTCTGAACAATTATGTGTGGACTTTGCTTCACACAGCTAAACGTGGTCCTTGGGAAAACAGTAACAAATCTTTAGAAAAGAAATTGGAAAGAGAAGAGCCAGAATGTCTGGTTGCTACAAATGGTCTTTTGGTTTGGAACCACCTGGGGCTTAGCATGAGGGAGGCGGCCTGGGGGAAGCAAAGGGAAGCTAAGGAAGCATTGCCCTTCCAAGGCCCCACACCTACTTAATCTGGAGTGATTTTCCCTGAAGAGGGCCCCCAAATGTGTGAGCCCCAGGGCCAGAAGACCTGGAGGTGACTGCTGATGGTGCTTCCAGCCCTTCCTCTGTTTTCTGGAGATAGCCAGGAAAAGAGAAAAAGGAAGGGTGCAGATCATGGGGTGCAGGCAGAGAAGACCAGATGGGCCTCACGTGCCTTGTGGCTTGTACCACACGGACAGCACACACCCAGGTCCTCCCGGTTCCAAAACCCCTGCTGCCTCCCCTCCTTGATGGGAACCAGATGAAAGCTTCAGACCAGGGTGGGGACTAGGGTGAGGCGAGGGAGACCAGGGCCGCTTCATGGCCCCCTGGACCAGCAGTCCCACAGGGCCGCGGCTCAGGAGGGCCCCCACTTGGTTTACTGTTCTGCTCTCCCTGTCTTAAAATTCTTGGTAACACTGGACCCCGCACATTGGGTAGCGGCCGATCACGGAGTTTGTGGCGCCCCCTCTAACTTCGGGTCCCAGTCCGTGCTCACTGGCCTCCCCTCGGCCAGGCCCTGCTGCAACCTTCTCTCTGGAGAGCGCCGTTCTGCAGGGCCCCGCAGATACTGTTGTGGCATCACCGCGTTCGTGCAGCCCTGAAGACTTATGAGGAATGTCATTCCGGGCTGTTCACGACTGGACCTACCCAGGCTCCTCCAGCCACACGTTCCTGTCCTGGGTCTGCCTCTTCCCGGGGCAGCGTGGGAGCCGCCAGGGGGGCCCTTCTCCAAGCTATGTATGGACTCCAGACGGCGGAGCGAATGTTCCTGCAACAATGAATGGCCAGTAGGACGACCCTTGACGTTCGGAGGGCAAGGCCACCGGCGGGACCTGGGGGCGCACTGCAACAGTCGTTGATCGTTCACCTTGGAATGCAGACGACACTTGCCGCGTACCCCTAGGGAGGCCGCTTCACCTGCAGAGAGGGCCTGCGTGGGTCACCCGGGGGACAGGTGTATTGAAGGCAGAGCGCGGACCAGTGGCGAGCCTGCAGCAGTGGCCGGAGCCCGCACCCCGGGGACACATGACGCCAGGGGTCTGGCCGGTCGTCGGCAGACCGCGGGCGCCGAGCACCCCACCGCCGCGGTTTGGGGCCCAAATGCCCACCCGCCGAGCCGCCCGGGCCGCGCCCACCGGGACAAGCCAGGGCTGCCGCGGGCCTGCACACACAGGGGGCGCCGCGCAGGAGAGGGAGATTCGGCGCCGGACGCCCGTGCGGCCCGGCCTCCGAGGGCCTCCGAAGGCGCCGGGGTCCGCCGGGGCCCACCTGCCGCCGGGGGCGCGGAGAGCGGCCGGCGCCTCCTCCGCGATAGTACCGCCCACCCGCTCCGCCGCAGCGCAGCGCGTGGCTCGGCCCACCCGAGCCGCTTCAGGCTCGCTGGGCAGCGGAGCTGAGCGAGGGGGCGTGGCGCGCGCCCAGGTCACGCCCTCATCTGCATAGTCATGAGGAGGGAGCCCTGCCTGCGGGGGGCGGGGTCTGGCTCGGGCGCGAGGCGGGGGCGGGGCCGGCCGCCGCCCGCCACCGCCTCGCTCTCCGCCCCCGGCGCGCGGGCCCCGCCCCACGCCGCCGCGGCGCAGGGACGGGGCGGGGCCCGGGCCCGGCAGGCCCCGCCCCCTATGTGAATATTGATGCGGCGCGCGTCGGCGTCGCCCTCCTCCCATTGAGCGAGGCTGTGTCGCGTGGCCCAGCGTCGGCGTGACGGTTGGACGCGGGCGCGGCACTGCGGGTCCCGATTGCTGCAGCCGCTTGTCAGTGTGATGAAGATTGGCACCCAGGTAAGCTGTCACTCAACCGCTCCGCCGCCGCCGCCGCTCCGCCGCCCCGTCCCTATCAATCACGCCGGCCCGCAGGCGCCGCGGCCGCCGCCCGCCACCGCCGCCTGGGTCTCCGCGGGCCGCCGCCGCCCGGGAGGGCCGCGCCGGACCCGCCGCCCGAGGCAGGGGGCGGGGAGGGGGCGCGGGTGGGGGAGGGGAGCCGAGGCCGCGGGGAGGGGCACTGTCCGCCGGGCCGGCGCGGGGGCGCGCCCCGCTTGTTTTTCCGTGTGGGTTGAGGGACGCGGAAATTTCTGGAAGGCGCGGCCGCCGCCGCCGCCGCCGCGCGGGGCCCGCTGCTGAGGCGCGCGCTCCTAACCGTCCCTTTCGGAGCGCGGCGCGCGCCCCTTGCGCGGGCGGGGGCGGGGCGGGGGTTGGGGCGCGGGGGCGCGCGGCGGGGGCGGGACCGGGCTGAGAGGCGCGGGGGCGGGGCCGGGCTGAGGGCCGCGGGGGCGCGCGGGCGGGGGCGGGGCCGGCGTCCAGGGCAGGGGGCGGGGCCGGAGCTGTCGTCAGGGGCAGGGGGCGGGGGCGGGCGGACGCGGGGCGGGCGGGGGCGCACGGAGGCGGGGTCGGCGTCAGGGGCACGCGGTCGCGGGGCCGGGGGCGAGCGGGCCCGGTGGTTGGAGCGGCGGCTGCCCGGGGCGCTCGGCTGGTCCTGGGGCGGCGGGCGGGGAGATGGCGGGCGGGCGGCCTGCAGGAGGGGGCGCGCCTGGCCGATGCCCCGCGCCCCTCGGGCTGCGAGGGCCCCGGCCGGCCCCGCTGCGGGTGGGGCGGGCCGTCCTGGGGGCCCGAGGTGCGTGCAGACGGGCTGTGCTGCCCTCCTCCGCGGGCCGGGGTCGTCTTCCCGGAGGGCGTTAGGACCGGATCGCTGTAATAAACGGCGGCCGTGGGGTGGGCGCGTGGGTGTGGGCTCTGGCGGCCGCTCGCCGCGTTTCACGTTCCTGTAGACAGAAGTCGTGAGTCACTTCCGAACAATTCGGAAACGTCGGGTCCGCTGTATCTCATCCTGGAGGCTGCTGAAATGCCCTGTTTGGTTCGTGGCGCCGCTAGGCTCTCTCGCGCAGTGTTTGGCTCCCAAATACGTCTTGGGATGTGTTGCTGGAGTCGCGTCCGTGGAGGTGAGGGCGCAAGTCAGATACTTTGGGGGGCGGCCCCCGGCCTGAGCACATGGGCACTGGGTAAATGGATCGAGCCTTGCAGCCGCCCGGGATGTGCTTGACTTGTGTAAGGGGGTTGTAACTTAATTGAGATTGCAGGAATTCGATTTCTACGAAAGCCACTGTTTTGTCCTGAGGAAATGAGGACTTGCCACTTCAGGGTGAAGGAAGCCCTCAGCTTTAGTTGGGTGTAACTTTACGATTTTTCCTGACGTATTGAACAATAAAATATTTTATATGTTTGTGTAATACATGATATTTTAATAAGTTGCGTTATGTTTTCTATAATCTAAATATTGTAAGGGAGAATAGAGGCGAAATGTAAAAGTGTCTGCTGTGCAGTTATTGGGGAGGCACTCAAGTCCGCGTGGAGGAACGATGACGTGGAAGCCGGCAGACTGACTCGCATCAGCCTTTCATCACTTTTTCCTTGATTTACTGAGCGCGGAGAATGATGTGTGCATAGTCTGGTTACAGTATGATTGCCTCTGCCATGCCCCAGCGTGTCATATTGACTGACACCGTGCTTTCCCACCAGCAGTGGAAGGACCCTTCCTACCTGAGAGGTTTAAAAATGGGAGTTAGTAAACGTGGTGGGGGACATAGGACTTGAAAGAGTGACACTCTAGGCTTGTGATGGAAGTGTCAACAAGTTGCATGGCTAATGATCCTGGACGCAAACGTTTCGTGGGACTCCTGTCCCTGTTTACTGTACTTACATTTCCGTGTCAACGTAGCAAAGCTTTAGAAGAGCGCTGCATGTGAGTAGCAGAAATGGAAAGGTACTGCGGGTGCCTGGTCACATTCCAGCTACAACTTTCACTTTTGTTGCGAGTTGTTAAACTGTTTGAAACTGTCGAGGAGAACCCTGACACAGTGATGCAGAGCCTGTGACCCAGGGGGCCTTTGCTGTGCTCCGCCCGGCCTCCTATGGAAAGGGTTTAGATGAAATGACTAGGATCAGGAAGGGAAGCCATTCTATTGAAATAGTTAGCAGAATACTGACAAACTGGTGATAAAGTGCCCTCCGTGCCCTTTCTTAGCTCACTCAGTAACACATGGAGCACCTGCTCTGCTAATTCCCTCTGGGGCAGCGACGAGCCTGCCTGCCTGTGAGACTTCTGTAGCAGCTTTAACGCTTTGTGAAAATATCTGTGGTTTCTGTTGGTGAAAAAGTCCCAGGTACTACTAAGGCTCCAGGATTTAATGTCTCCCTTCCTAATTGGATGAGTGCTAAATTTCAGCCAGAGGTTATTGCAAATGAAGATGTGGGTCTTTCTGACTCAGCTTCGCAGAGAGCAAGTTAAGAACCTCTGCACTGGAAGTCGGTTTACTCTCAGCAGGTCCATTAGTAGGAATATGTAGGTGCCCTTTGTCTCGTTCCTCAAATGATGGTCGTGATGGCAAAGGTGATGGGGAAATAGGAGCAGTGCAGCTGAGGGAACTCGAAGCTGAGCAGTTGGAGTCCCGGAGGAATAAACGTTCAGGGGCCACGGGGCGTGGTCATTTGGTGGAAAGGCCTGGCTGCAAAGGCTGTCAGTTGAGGCCTCACCTGCCACACTGGACTGCCCACCACGGTGTGCATGGAGTAGCTCGCCTGCAGCCCACTCTTGGCCAACAGCCGCCGGTTTCAGTGTGTCGGCGCCTCCCCAGTCTGGTCAGTGTTTCTGGGGAGCTGGCTCACAGCGCTGCATGCTGTCGCAGCAGTGTCCTGTCTGACGAGGTTTGAACTGCAGTTGCTCGGAAGTGCTGTGGTTCTGAGGACGTGCCTCGGGGGTCCTGGGGAGGGGACAGAGTAGCTTCTTAAGGCTATTTGGGATTCTTTGGGGAAAAGGTTTTACAATTTCAGAATCTTGAAAACTACTGATCTACCAGGTTGAGAGACTGAAAGTCTGTGAGTTAGTAAAAACTTGGGGTTCATTTTATTGTCTCGGGTCTTTCTTTAAATGATAGAATGTGATCATCCCAACAGGTCCAGCCACCAGGCCCTGCCTTCTTCCCCTGGGGTAAGCCGCTCAGCGTGGGTTGATGGTGCTCCTGTCTGGGGGAGATGATTTCTGCTCAGGGTGATCCCATCACCCGAAAGGCATGTGTCATTTGGCGCAGCCTCTGGCTGAGTAAAGCCATGTGCAGGTACCGCTGCAGGGCACGATTGTTGGAAATGCTGCTTTTGTCATTTGCCCTCTGTGACTGATGCTTACGGGACAATTGTCTGTTTTAGTCGGGTCTCAGGGTGGCAGGGAGCAGGCTGACTTCAAGTCCGGGTGTGTACGGTCGCACTGGAATAAGGAAAATAGGAATCTGCTGGGATCCCGGGATCTGCCGGAGTGCTGGGCCCTGGCGCTCAGCTCCACTGCTGCTCTCCAGGGTCTGCTCGTTCGCACACTGTTGGTGGCGTCTCCTCCCCACGGCTTGGGCCCTGCTCTGCCCACCTCGTCCTCTTCCTCTTTCCCAGCGCAGACCCCAGAGAGAGTGACGGAGCTCTTGCCCACACCCCACTTCCCAGGTGCTGGTCAGGGGCTGCCTGGTCCCCAAGCTGTCCCCAGGGAGGGGTGGGCTCCTCCCATCTGCACCCCCGTCCCCTTTCCGCAAGGTCTACAGTGGGGTTGGCTCACTCAGAGGGGACTGTGGATTGGTAGGGACTGTGAGTGCAGTTTCCAGAACAGTCTGATCAGACTTTTGCAGAAATGATGCCTTAACAAGAGCTTAGTAAGCTCTCAATATATGTTGTCATATGTTGTCTGATACATTTCATCAAGGTTTGTATTTTTTTGCATTAAAAAAATTAGGAATTTAACTCTGCATTCTTCTGAATTCAGTTGTGTGTTTGTGCATACTTTTTTTGACATTTATTTCAGCAGCAAATACCCCTGTGATCCTGTAGGGCATGGGTTCTCAACTGTGGCACTGTTGACATTTGGGGCCAGACACTTCCGTGTTGTGGAGGCTGTCCTGTGCATTGTAGGACTGTAGCAACATTTCTGGTCCCTACCCACTAGATGCCAGTGGGACCCCCTCCCCCAGTTGTGACAACCAAAAATGTCTTCAGATAGTGCCACACGTCCCCTAGGGGACAGAAATCAGCCCTGGTTGAGAACGACTGATCCTAGTATAACATTTCCCAGAATGTATCGTGTGGAACCCGAGTTTAATGGGACACGCATACATTTTTACATATCAATCAGTTAAGCTATTTTGTGTTGCATTTTTAGTCAGCATTATCATGTGTGTTTTCATGTATTTACATAATCCACACATTTCTCATTTTAAAAATTTATCTAAGATCCTGTCACACAATTCTGGGATTCTATTTTTTTTCTATATTATTTTATGGTCATGCCTGATGTTTCAGAGCCTTTTGGGCATTTAGATTTTGATATTTTCTACGTTTATTATCCTCTGGCTACCAAGCTTGGTGCTAGTCAGATGACGGGGGACGTGGGTAGGAGGGGTGGCGCCGCTGGGCCCGTGTCTGTGGCGCTCTGTCCCTGAGCACACCGACAGTGCCCTGGGAGAAAGATTGTCTGCGTGAAAGGGCCCTCATCCCAAAGAGGTGGCATTTCTATTCTCCAAAAAGCATTCATTGACACTTAATAACAAATACATCAAGTTTTGAGTGCCAGTTTTTAATGATGCCAATGATAGTCACGGTCTTAACAAAGCTGCGCTGTGAATTTAAAATCTACCAGCTGTAATAGACCATCCAGCTCAGCATTTACTAAAACAGATTCTAAAACCATTAAAACACCTTTGTTATTAGAACTTTGCTGTGTCTTTAGTGGATGTATGCGGACTTTTGGCTTAGAAAAACTTTATTTGGACAGATTTTGTTTTAACAGGATTTAATGCCTATGATTTTTTTTGAATATTAACTTCAAGTTGTACCTCTCCAAACCCTGTTTGAAAACTAAAGTGACTTCTTGAGAGATGTTTTCCTCAGAACGAGTTATTGCTGGAACTTCTGCCTGGGCTGGGGGCTGTGAAGCCAGGACGGAAGCCGGTGGGCAGGCAGCTCACGTGTCTGAGCGGTAGTCACCTTAAACGTCCTGCACACCGAGTGAGACCTCACTGAGCTGTGGTGACGCACAGGTAGTGTCCTGAAAGGCGTCTCGGAAAAGATCTCCTTTTTCTGAATATAAAATTTTGACAGTTGCCTTGGATTCCTCGACAGCTTTTCTAGCTTTATTAATGAACAGGTTTAGTGTGGCAAAGGATCATCAGTTAAATGTTTTTGGGAAAGATTAGTAACCAAAAAAAATCTGCAGATAGAGTTTGGAAGTGTCTCTTGACTCTTGCTGTTATTTCCATCTTGTTTCTGGCTTTATAACCACCTCTCTTACAGACACTAACACTGAAATTACCCTAGAATTTCCTGTGTTTTTCTGTTAGTGGAATTGGTCATGTTCATTAGTTAAAGCAGCTTTGAGAGCAGCTGGGAGGCTGACCTGCTGGGAAAGTAAACCCTTTGCTGGGATGGCAGCAGGCCTGTTTGCAGATTAAATGAAAAATGCAATAACAAGTGTTGGAGAGGATGTGGGGAAAAGGGCACTCTCACACACTTCTGGTGGGAGTACAGACTGGTGCAGCAACTATGGAAAACAGCATGGAGATTCCTCAGAAAGCTAAAAATAGAAATACCACGTGATCCAGCTATTCCACTGCTGGGTATTTATCCAAAGAACTTGAAATTGAGAATTCAAAGAGATTTATGTACTCCTATGTTCGTTGCAGCATTATTCGCAATAGCCAAGATGTAGAAGGAACCCAAGTGCCCATCAATGGATGAATGGATAAAGATGTGGTGTGTATATACAATGGAATACTACTCAGCCATAAAAAAAAAATGCCATCTGTTCATCTGCAACAATATGGATAGACTTTGAGGGTATTATGCTAAGCAAAATAAGTCAGAGAAAGACAAATGCTGGATGATTTCATTCACATGTGGAAGATAAACATAT